GGGGTAGTAGTGAGACAGGGACTAGTTATATGTACTTACGTAGAGGACCAGGGACTATAGATGTAATTACTCTTATTAGAACACTATACATAAATAACTATGAAATTTTAAGCGAGTCTAGTTTTTGCCCGCGACTTCGTGTGCGTTATTTTCAGAATTAGAAATGTACGTTTCGATTTATAGGCGGAAAAGAAAAAGATATTTGGATTTTATCAACTTTTTTCTTTTGTGATTTGATGAAAGGTATCTATGTACTTTCCTTTCTTCTAAGCTATCTTAAATCAATTTACAGCCAAACCCGTGAAGCCATTCTTGAGGTAATGTACCTAACACGACTATATATTCACGGTGCGTGTGTTTGGTCCATCGTTGTAGTGAGAGGAGCTTCAACAGTGACTGGTACTTGTGACCCAGGTGTAGGTTTAAGGGACCCTATCTAACGCGCTTTAAACGTTCACCTCCACCGTCCAAGCTCTCTATTAAATTTGAAACAAACCTACTAGGACTGCCTTAAGTACGTTCCAAGAATGAATTAATACTACAAGGGTAAAATTAATAACACATTTCAGAAATAACATATATTAACCAGTAGACCTCACAAACTAGACTAGACATACAAAGATGAGAGAACAAAAAATATATATAAAATATAAATGGCAAGTTACAAAATGTATGTGAATAAATTTGTGACGAACATCAGTTAAACAAAGACTAGGCGATGGCTGATTAAGAAAAATACATACTAATATATACCAGTGATATATCTTTAGCAACCGTCTCACTCTAATGATGCTGTCTCTTTCACTCATCACGACAAAACGACGAAGAGACAGCATACATTCAAAAGGATTAAATGTTACATTATAAGAAAAATGTTATGAGACTTAAATAAATTACAATATTTATAAAATTATATTTCAATGTCGAATTTTAATTCTTAATAAAAAATAACAACAAAATTTAAATTATAATAACATTTTTATGGCAACACGGATTGCACCAAAAATGACACGAAAGAGATCACATACATTATATTTTATTTATTTCTCGTGTTCTTATTTTTTATCTGTAATTACATTCGTCAAACCCATTCACTCGTTTAATCGCTCATTCATTCACTCGTACGAATTCCATTCATTGAATAATTCCATATTTTTTATACATCATCTGTACTTCAAGAACATTTCGAGAACCATCCAAGAAAATAACATGTCCAATTATAAAAAATATACAAATTTAATGTGTACTTTTGAAAGTCTCAAATGTACTCCAGACTCCAATCATTATACTGTCTGAATCGACTACAGTTTTGACACCCAGACAGACGGACAGAAACCTCTTAAACATGGAGTGTGGGGGAACATACATACACACATACACTTCCCTTTAAATAAAACCCACGTATTAATATTAAAAGAAAAGCTTCCCTTACATCTGATATGTAGAATCACACGCACTTAGAAACACAAAATTAATGATTATTTATTAAACAGAAATGGAGCCCCTTGGACCTTTATAATATACTTAGCACCTCATTTAAAAATAACATAAGCATTACTGAAGAAAGGATTAATATATATATAGCAAAAACATTTATATGTAACTAACACTCTTCTCTTCTACCTGGCATTTTCCCAGCTTCAGCCAGGGTCTGCCTTACATGTTGTGAATAGTTTTGGCTAATTGTTTTTACGACCGGCCGCCTGCCTGACATCAACCGTCTTTGAGAAAATTGTATATAACAAAATATTGATACATTTCTGTTAAATATAGTCCATACTTTGGAAGCTTGAAAACAATATATTTTTTTATAAAAAAAATAAAACTTTGACTTTATAATTACAGAAACATTGAGTTATTATTTTAGTTACAAACCTGTTCTACCAACTAATGTATTATGTTAAGACACTATAGCTCAGTAGATAAAAATCTTGGAATGAATCAAATGAGTAGCAGGTTCAAATCCGGAGAGTGGAAATGAAATTAAACTTTAATTCACACAAATAATGTTAGTTACATATAAATCTTACAAATATATAATGAAAAAAATATTGATAATAATTATTACAAACAAAAATATATACTAATACATAAATACATATATACAGGGTGACTGGTGAATTACTATCGATATTTGAGGACGTGATATTTGACGATCATATATGACAAAATAAAAATTAATATAACATAAATATTAATAAACTTCTAAGTAAAGTTAACCAAAAGTTGTGTAATTAATTACGCATCGTGTGAACACCTCACAGATTAGGTATACACATACACACACACACACACACACGTCGGCGGCGTGGTGTTGTATCAGCACGCCGCCGCACGCGTCCACACTTGGAACACTTGGAACGTGTCCACGCTTTATTTATTTATACGGAAATTTTGTCAAAAATTAAGTACCTATTTTTTTTACATAATTCGAATGAAAATCATGTACCGAGTATGCTCCTTAAATATTGATAGTAATTACCCAGTCACCCTGTATATAAACTAATCGATATATATATTACATAGTTACAATATAAATTTTTTACATTTTTTAGAATTTTGTACTGAAATATCTTTCCTTCATTTAACTCTGTTGTAGATTTACTTTTTTCATTTACATACATTTTTATATATTACATATTAATTTTGAATTTTTATCTAAACTAGTTATATCTTCATTTAATTTCATTAGTATCAAATACATAATTTTTCTTTAATTTTGCCAAAAAAAATGAAGAAAAAAGTAAATCTTAACAATCCATATTCTACAATCACATTACAATTCCATCACAGTAACGAACCCTGACTGAATGATGAGCATCATGGTGGCTGGTCAGAAATATAAAGATATTTAAAAGATAAAAATAAAACAATTAAAGATAAAAGATAAAAGATAAAAACATACATGTGACACTCGGAGACTGACGCGGTAAAGCTATAGCATAACATTATTAACAAACTATCAATTATAATTATTTTTAAACTAGCTGACCTGGCGAACTTCGTATCGCCCTATAATCAAGAATATCCATTACGTTTTTTTATTTATATTTTTAGAGTTTACCTGTAAGCCATATATCTCCGTGTTTTGAAGTGCGACAGAATAATTGAAATATTAGTTAGTTGTCAAATCTAATGTCAAAAAAAACCTTTGTATGGGAAATAGAAAAGGGCTGTTTTTATGGTTTTCCCAGTAATGAATCAATTTTTTTCATCTTTTACACCTTCCCTGAACCTCCACGAACATTTCAAGACTAAGATAAGATAAATCCGTTTAGCTGTTCTCGAGTTTTAGCGAGACTAAGGAACAGCAATCCATTTTTATATATATAGAAGAGAAGAAGAAGATAATTGATACACCATGGCATCTTGTATGTCCGTGATATTGAGAAAAGTTGCAGGAATCATCTATAATAGAAGATAGGAGCTATGCAATAGCTTAAACATACAAATTAATGAAAGAATAATATATTTATATATTTTTTCATACTAAAAAGGGTGAATTTGACAAATTTTGCAAGCAAATATTCCACCAACCACCATTTTAACCCACCTCCAACATCACAATATTTTTTCAACATTCCAATATTTTCCTATCTATTATATCTAATTAATTCAGAATTAAATAATAAACATCTTTAATATACACAATGTTATAACTGAGACACAGTAGCTCAATTGTTACAAAGCGATACTAGTCGCAAGTTCGATGACAATTCATTGTGTACATATTTATCAAATAAAACAAAAAATTACATCATTTTTAAAGAAAAAATCTTCAAAAGAAATTAATTTTGATAATATATATCTACAACATAATAAAATCAAAGGAAGACAAATGAAATTAAGAAAAAAATACATTTTTTTCGAAACATAAATTATTTTAGTCACTTTCAGTAACATACAACTTTTAATTTTGTTTATAAACTTAATGAAAAAAAGAAAACATAAGAAAAGGGAAAAATATACCTCATTTCTTCTTATCCGTCAATATATGAGACATTGTCATGTGACGTCTGAAACAAAGAAAAATTATACACTATATGTATATTCAATACACTATTTTACGGTAAAAAATATACTACCGTAACTATAACCGAATGAGTACCGTAATCCGGAAATATATCCGTCCGTAAATGTTAACTAAACTATGTTAATATTATTTTTTCGTAATAACAATCAGATAAATTTAAATCAAATAAATTTTATTACTTTATTATTTCTTATGATAATAACTCACAATAAATCTGCGAACTAACTTAATATATTCGTGTATATATACATATATATATATATATATATATATATATATATATATATACAGGGTGACTGGTGAATTACTATCAATATTTAAGGAGCATACTCGGTACATGATTCTCATTCGAATTATGTAAAAAAAATAGGTACTTAATTTTTGACCAAATTTCCGTATAAATAAATAAAGTGTTGACACGTTCCAAGTGTTCCAAGAGTGGACGTGTGCGGCGGCGTGCTGATACAACACTTCGCCGCCGCCGCGTCTGTGTGAGTGTGTGTGTATACCTAATCTGTAGGGTGTTCATACGATGCGTAATTAATTACATAACTTTTGGTTAACTTTACTCAGAAGTTTATAAATATTTATGTTATATTAATTTTTATTTTGTCATATATGATCGTCAAATATCACGTCCTCAAGTATCGATAGTAATTCACCAGTTACCCTGTATATAAGGCTGCGGCTATGAAAATAGGTAATATCATGAAAAGAATCACAGAAAAAATTAATATTTCGTCTAACATTGCCTTCAAACCTCAATTATATAATTTCATATTGAATTTGTAACTTAATTGTATACTTTGCCCAGACACACATTTGTATATATTATTTAACCATATATTGAAAGTGATAATTATTTTTACTGAATTTATTATCATGTATATCATGATAACCAGGAAATAGGATAAAATATATAATTTTATATATACAAGTAAATAATAATGGTATATTAGTTTAATACCTTAGCCCTCTCTCCCCTCTGAAGCACAGACTGCACAATGAGCAACGCCAGTCCAAACTCTTTTCTTTATCTATGGTATTGTCTCTGACGTCATCGTTGTCTATATTCTTCTCTATGGATGGATTGTCTATGGAATCTTTCTTTTCTATCTTCCTTGACACTTTCTTGTCTGGTGACGGTGATTTGAATTTCTTTAAGTCTGTAATGAGTTACATATTAATATAAATTTGTGTATATATTATATGACATCTATAAATTATATTATAATCTTTTATGTTAAAATTAATTTATAAAATACTAGCCGACCCGGCAGACTTTACACTACCTCAATCGATAAATAAATATTTTTTTATTTATTTTTTGGAGTTTACATATAAGTCATAAATCTCCGTGTTTTGAAGTGCGATAGAATAATTGACATATTAGTTAGTTATCAAATCTAATGTTAAAAAAAAAGGTTGGATGGGAAATAGAAAAGGGCTGTTTTAAGGGTTTTCCCGGAAATTAATCAATTTCCTTCAGCTTTTAAACCTTCCCTGAACCTCCACGAACATTTCAAGACTAATATAAGATAAATCCGTTTAGCCGTTCTCGAGTTTTAGTGAGACTAACGAACAGCAATTCATTTATATATATAGATAGATATATCCATATATTATTATTTTTCTATGCTAAAGGGGGCAACCGAGCAGACGGCCTACTTGATTGAGGTAGTACCGTCACCCATGGACATACGCAATGTAGATTTGAGAATGTGTTGCCACCCTTGATCAGGGAATAAGGGGAAAAGGTGGGAAAGGGATGGAAAAGGGAAAGGGCAACCGTCTCTCTCACTCATCGGACGAAACGCAGCCATTAAAGACTACTTGACGCCGATCTTCAGTGAGAGGGTGGTACTTACGGTCGAGACAGACCATGTTTGAGCTGTAGTAACTTGACCACAGCTAGGCTCTAAAACCTTCAAAACTATCAATATATTATGTAATAAGGTAATTAATAATACTAATGATCTAAACTTACCAATGGGTGTGATAACAATGCTGGGTACTCCCATGACAGCGTGGCACGGCGAGGGCGGAGCCCTATCTCTGTAGTCAATTGCCACTCTACTCAATGGCAGGGCTTCATCGCTGGACCCATCGGAATCATGTTTAAATGGCTGTTTCTTCACACGCTTTCGGAATCTAAAAGCAATTATAACTTTATTATATACAGGGTGACTGGTGAATTACTATCAATATTTAAGGAGCATACTCGGTACATGATTCTCATTCGAATTATGTAAAAAAAATAGGCACTTAATTTTTGACAAAATTTCCGTATAAATAAGTAAAGTGTTGACACGTTCCAAGTGTTCAAGTGTGGACGCGTGCGGCGTCGTGCTGATACAACACCACGTCGCGACACGCGTATGTGTGAGTGTGTGTGTATACCTAATCTGTAGGGTGTTCATACGATGCGTAATTAATTACACAACTTTTGGTTAACTTTACTTAAAAGTTTATTAATATTTATGTTATATTAATTTTTATTTTGTCATATATGATCGTCAAATATCACGTCCTCAAATATCGATAGTAATTCACCAGTCACCCTGTATATATGTATATATAAAGAGATGTAAATTTTCGCAAGTATTATTCATTTAACTGAAAATAATATCTTCCGGATTAAACTGCGCGACTTTATTTTTCTAAAAAGTAAATACGTTTCGATCACTTTTCAGCAACCGTGATCACGAGCAGACGAGATGTGTTTACAAAAATAAAGTCGAGTAGTTTTATTTGAAGAATATTAATTTAAAATATATATTACTATCTTTCCGCCCGCAGCTTCGCCCGCATGGAGTTCGGTTAAATCGCGTTTCAAAGAGAAAATATCAAAAGTCTGGGATAAAAACTATTCTATGTTCTTTCTCAGGGTCAACTCTGTCTGTACCAAATTTCATTAAAATCAGTTCAGTGGTTTAGGCGTGAAAGCGTAACAGACAGACAGACAGACAGAAAGAGTTACTTTCTTATTTATAATATTAGTAGGGATACCACGCGATATTATTTTTGTGATAAAAACTACATACTACTGACGTTTCGGCTACGAAATATATTAATTTCATTTAAATATATATATGTTTACCGTTTCTTAGGCCGTCGATACACAACTTTTCTTTTTTCCTCTATATTATTGTTGTTTATATATTTCTCGCACGCAGCGCTGCCATGTTCCAGTTTTTCCAGCTCCGTTGAACTTGATATTGAGGATTTGTCGCATGCAAACAGATCGGTCTCATTGCTCAATTCATTACTGTCGATGTCACTGAAAAAATATTAATTATATATATGTATGAGGTTGAAGAGGGTTGATGTCAGGCAGGCGACCAGTCGTAAAAACATAGCCAAAACTATTCACAACATGTAAGGCAGACCCTGGCTATAGCTGGGAAATTGACAGGTAGAAGAAGAAGAAGTATGAGGTTGAAATAAATTTTTAACAATTTTTATGTGATTTTGAGAATTTCTAGGATTATTTTATGTTAGTTAAGGATTCTTCTGCATTTTTTACTTATATATAAATATATAGAAAGAGGTGAATTTTCTCATCATTCCATATATTCATGGTGCGTGTGTCGGGTCCATCATTGTAGTGAGAGGAGCTTCAACAGTGACTGTGACTTGTGACCCAGGTGTAGGTTTATGGGACCCTATCTAATGCGGATTAAATGCTCACCTAAACCATATATTTAGGAAGATCACTCATATAAATTAGGATATATTGAAGAAGAATCCTTAATTAACTTAAATATATATAAATATATTATACATATATAGAAAGATCACTGCAAATATAAGTAAGGGTAATAATATAATAAATGCACTTACATATTCAATGATTAATTTTTACAGTAAGATATTCTAACATAACTTGCTATAAAGATATTTTTATTATTTCACTTTCATTATACGTAAAATGTCTCTAAGTATTAATATAAATATATACAATAAAGAAATATAAACTGTTATTCCTAACTTAAGATTAATAAAATTATTTTAGGATTTTTTTTGGTATTTTTTTTTATTAGAAGTAAATAATGTTTTAAAAAGAATGACAACTCAAATATGGTATATCTACTCGGTATAATTAAATTTTACTTTAATATATTTTTTTTAATACAATGCATTACCGAGATAGATGTTTGAATTACAGTATCCTATGTTATAAGTTCCGATATTTAACATTCAAGCCTGAATTCTGGTATAACATCTTATCTAATGACAATTTAACTGTTATACTTATTAAAAAAGTTATTCCATTCAAGAAAATCTTGTGTTTCCTCCACACAGTACTCAAAATTATAAGTTGTCCGACAAATAAAAATGTTGACTTTGACAAAATATTACACGATTACAGTGCTAATGAAGGCATAGTTTAAAAAATAGATAGTCAAGCAATCACGAAAATTTAAAAATTCTCATACTGAAGGTATGTAACTTAGTCTTGTATATATTTATATTAATTAAATGAATAATTAATAATTATTTATTAAGAGTATTTTAATCAACTAACCTCTGATCTGATAGATCGCTTTGAGCGTCCGTCTCCAACTTTTTGATCTCAAATGTTATATTAATCCTTTTGTATATTTCTTCAGTAATATTTCGACACTTTTCGTATTTCTCTGAAGTCTCACTTGATATATGTGGCCACGGATTTTGCAGAGTAGACATTTTAGATATTTTGTTGTATAATTAAAAACATATTGCAGGATTGACGATTTTTAAGTTATTTGGAAATTTCATTTCAATTACGAAATAGTGTGCAAAATAATGGCGGGATTGTACCTATTAAAGACGATCTCCTCTTAAACGATTCTCAAAATAAGCAGGGCACGTCCGATATTAGTTTTTCATATAATAACTCTTTATGTTTTTATAAAGCACCAAATTTCGGTGTTTTCACAACAAAGACACATAGATCAACACTTTTATGGCACATTAAATTAATCATGGCTATTGCTTTGACTTCAGAGTATACTAAATAAGTCTAGGACTAGATATAAGCACTTATAACACTCTTTAAGAGGTTAATTACAACAATAATTAAACACAAATAAGTTTAAAAACTAAATTAAAACTACAACAGTTGCCTTGCGGCTTTTTTTTAAGACTTTTTTGACGTTTTATATTTAGTGTTGCTTGACACTAATTGCTCATAATTTTTAATAGGAAATCATTTTTCGTCATAGACAACACAACTCTTAAGAAATATCTTCCAATAACATACCCATTGATAGAAGAATCAATATTCTTGAATATTATTCTAGAATATGCATCTTTACCAGCCAAATAAGATACCTAAATGTATTTAAACAAAGAAGATTCGATCCGTGTTACTAGGAAAGAGAACGAATGCTTTATCTCTGTTGTAATTATCTTGGCAATAGAAATTCAGAAACCTTCAAGGCTTCATACAAAAAATTGTAAAACTATATTGATTTGATTTGCATTGTTAATTGCGTATATTTATTAATTGCATAATTCTATTAATAAATCCTTAATTATTTTTTTAACATCGTTGTATAGTTTTTATAAATGAGGTTTCAGAACGATAATAATTTGCCGCCAAATGTTGCTTTAAGCTAATGCTAGCCATTTTTGTTATGACATAAATTATCTAAACAATTGTAGGAAATAATCGAAATGTTGTATAATGTTCACTACTTTTATTAAACTAAACTGTTTTGGAACACAATTGGTGTTAGAATATACTTTTATGAATCTTAAATTACGACAAACATGGCCTACCGAAGAGGGTCAACATCAAGAAAACATTTGTTAGCAAAAATCGCTGAAAAAAGTGTCCCTTGTGCGTTTTGTAGACTCGAAGTTGATGATGAGGCTATGTACGGCAAATTATACAGCATTGGAGATATACATTGCCATTATTTCTGTGTGGTTAGTTCATATTTAATATTTTACACTCGCAATTGTAACTATAAAAAAATACTGTTTGAGAAAGTTTCTTTTATCATATTAGCGTTTTGGTTGAGATAAAACGATATGATTTAATTCATATAAACAAGATACTCCATAATTGTTATTTGTCAAAGAATTATGTTTATTCGCGGGCACAATTACAGTTTACAAATTAGAGCTTTAGAAACTTATTTTGAAATCTAATTAAACTAATAATATTTCTGAATTTACTTCTAAACATAACACGAAGTTTTCATGTATATGACTCCCAAATATTTACTATCACTATAAATTAACATCACTGCATTCAAGTAATATTTATCATTTTATTCTAGTTGCTGTCCTGTTGTTTAATACAAAAAGGTAAAGACAGCGAAGGTCTGTTTGGTTTCCTCTATCAGGATATATTAGCCGAGATAGAGAGAAGTAAGAAACATGTAAGTATCATTTTATTTTCATGTATTTTGGTCTATAACATGAAATGAATCCTCTCATCATTCAATGTATTCACGGTGCGTGTGTCGGGACCATCGTTGTAGTGAGAGGAGCTTCAACAGTGACTGTGACTTGTGACCCAGGTGTAGGTTTAAGGGACCCTGTCTTACTTTAAACGCTCACCTCCTCTCTCTACCTAAGTAAAAAAAAATAATGAAAAATTGCTGATGAATGCAAGAGTGGACTTTCCTGCTCAATTTCTTTTGTGTCTTCATGAGGAAGATATAAATATATATATTAATACTAGAAGACCCGGCGAACTTCGTTTCGCCCTATAATCAAGAAATATCTGTTACGTTTTTTTATTTATATTTTTGGAGTTTACCTATTAAAGCCATAAATCTCCGTGTTTTGAAGTGATTAGGAATGATTAATAGTTAATATGAGAGTTACACTGAGCTAGCAAAATAATAATTGTCAACGTTACTACTACACTTGATGCACAAACAATAACGATGGCCGACAACTGTGTAGGGAGTGAGAGAAGTCTAATTGTGTGAGAGAAACAGAAGACCGGCTTCGTTCTCATCCCTACTCCGTGCTGTTTACTGGGTCAGAAGTGACACCTGTAGATATCTGGCGGGGATAACTTATTAAATGACGATTGATCAGTTATCGACCGGAGATGAAAAATGATTAAATTACTAAAATAGCTATTAAAAAATAAGGGTTGATCGTAGAAGGGTGAAAATTTAAGATTGTATGTATTTTTGTACGTTGTATCATAAAAAAATAGTAATTAAAAATGTTGTCTAAAAAATAAAAAAAAAAAATTTAGGGGTGGACTACCCCTAACATTTAGGGGGATGAAAAATAGATGTTGGCCGATTCTCATAGCTACCGAATAAGCACAAAAAATTTCATCAAAATCGGTCATGTTGTTTCGGAGGAGTATGGGCACGAAAACTGTGACACGAGAATTTTATATATTAGATACTATTATTTTATTTCCACAACTACTTAATTTTAAAATTTCCACAACTACTTAATTTTAAAATTAGGAGATATCCCAATAAGGATATGAAACTTCTATTTATCAACTTCTATCACTCATTTCTCATTGTTAGTAACAAAAATATATATACAATTCTTTTGACCTGCAAGTTCAAATCCGAAAATATTAGTTTCATTTAAATGAGTACTTGGGAAAATTATAGATCTCATTATATAAATATATATATATATATATATATATATATATATATATATATATATATATATATATATATATATAATTCATTGTTTAGTATAATAATATAATATTTTCTTTACAGAAATGTTCATATTGTTATAAAGAAGGTGCGACTTTAGGTTGCAGTGTGTCTCAGTGCAGGAAACAATTCCATTTACCGTGTGGAAGAGAAAGAAATGTGGTTTCCTTGTACTATGGAAATTTTAAGTAAGCATATACCATATACTACATAGCCTAGCTGTGGTCAAGTTACTACAGCTCGAACATGGTCTGTCTCGACCGTAAGTACCACCCTCTCACAGAAGATCGGCGTCAAGTAGTCTTTAATGGATGCGTTTTGTCCGATGAGTGAGAGAGACGGTTGCTTTGTTTCTTTCTCATCCTTCCCTTTTGCACAATCAAGGGTGGCAAGTTTTGTTTGATACTTCAACAAACATACATTTTAACAAACATTTTATATAATTAGTATGAACATTAAGGTATATAAACAATTAGTAATTATTTAGTGATAATTTATTACTTATTGAGAAAAACAATACCTTAAAAGTCGTAATATAAAATTTTTTTGGACAAATTTTATTCTGATAATCTGCTTCCAATGTAGACACGTGAATTAAACAATGCTAGTTACGCGGATTTGCGCTTTCCCAAATATATATATATATATATATATTGGCAGACCCTGGCTAAAGCTGGGAAATTGCCAGGAAGGAAGAAGATATATGTATATATATACTATATTTCCAGATCATTCTGTGAAAAACATGCGCCAAAACAAAATATACCATCATTCATCATGGATAAGGCGAAAATTAGGAAATCAATGATGAGGAAAATTGAAAATGGAGAATCAATTGATACAGGTGAATAGAAATGTATAGAAAAAACAAAAATCCCTAAAATATACTGCATATATCTCATTTAAAACTAAATTTGGATTAAATCTTTCACTCATATATCTATACTAGCTTTCCGCCCGCAGCTTCGCCTGCGTGGAGTTCGGTTATATCGCGTTTTCAAGAGAACCTTTCAAAAGTCTGGGATAAAAACTATCCTATGTTCTTTCTCAAGTTCAACTCTATATCTGTACCAAATTTCATTAAAATCAGTTCAGTGGTTTAGGCGTTAAAGCGTAACAGACAGACAGACAGAGTTACTTTCACATTTATAATGTTAGTAGGGATATATATATGAGTGAAAATATTTCTAATATAATAATAATATATTTGATGTTTGATCCCAAGATATATCTTATGATTCATCTTCAGATTCAATTCCTGAGACAATATGTGTTATATGCTACGAGCCTGTCAATGGCTTTCCTTCACCGAGTACTTTCTGGCCTCCCTGCTGTGCTGTCGATGCTTGGTTTCATAGAGATTGTATACAGGTAAACTATGATTGTATACAGGTAAACTATGACCCACAATACAAATATATTATAGGATGGTGGGTTATATTCACATTGACTTTATATAGAAATAAATTCTTGTTGATATCATGAACCTCATTTGTTTAATAAGTGGTAAATAAGTGGTAAGTTTTATCAAAAATAATTTATTAATAATAGTAAACAATATTTCTGATTAAGTGGTGGCCTATAGGTTTAAGGCTCGCCTCTCATGCATGAGGGTTGGCTCGAAACCTGTCAAGTACCAATGTGATGTTCCGAGTCATGTACTTTATAAGAGTATTTAGACATCACTGATAGATGAAGGAAAACATCGTGAGGAAACATGGACTTATATCAAATTATAAGTTTGAAATCACCAACCCGTCTTGAGCGAGCGTGGTGATTAATGCTCAAACCTTCTCCATGTGAGAAGAGGCTCAGCAGTGGGCGCTGATAAGATGATGATGATGATATACAGGGGGACTGGTGAATTACTATCGATATTTGAGGACGTGATATTTGACGATCATATATGACAAAATAAAAATTAATATAACATAAATATTAATAAACTTCTAAGTAAAGTCAACCAAAAGTTATGTAATTAATTACGCATCGTATGAACACCCTACAGATTAGGTATACACACACACTCACACATACGCGCGCGGCGGCGTGTTGTTGTATCAGCACGTCGCCGCACGCGTCCACACTTGGAACACTTGGAACGTGTCTACACTTTATTTATTTATACGGAAATTTGGTCAAAAATTAAGTACCTATTTTTTTTACATAATTCGAATGAGAATCATGTACCGAGTATTCTCCTTAAATATTGATAGTAATTCACCAGTCACCCTGTATATATCAGTTATGTATATATTATTTTTCATTTTGTTTCAGCGTATGTCACTAAGCGCTGGCATACATTACTTGAAGTGCCCTCTATGTAATGATAAAGAAAACTTCTATGAAGCTGTTTTAAATCAAGGATATTATGTTCCAGACAGGTATATACATAGCATTTTTATTTAATTTATATTATAATTTTTTCAGAAAAGCACAAAGAATCATATTTTTAAGGTACAAGATACTATGACTAATTAAAAAGTTTACTAATAATACTTTAATTGGAGTGTAACTTAAATGAATTGTATGTATACAATTTATGAGACATAAGTCACTGAAAAATATAAATAAACTTGATAGGAAACAAATAAATTACTATATTCATATATAATTGCTAAAAATATATCGTGTTTCCAAGAGAACCTTTCAAAAATCTGGGATAAAAACTATCCTATGTTCTTTCTCAAGGTCGACTCTATGTCTGTACCAAATATCATTAAAATCAGTTCAGTGGTTTAGGCGTGAAAGCATGACAGAAAGACAGAGTTACTTTCGCATTTATAATATTAGTAGGGATTCAGAATGTAAGAAATATAATTGTTGTATAGGGATGCTGCTTGGGAGTTGGAACAGAATGCCTTCTCGGAGATATATGAGAGGCAGATGACCTGCTCCGCTGAGACCTGCTACTGTGAACAAGGCCGGGGGCACGATGAGGAGAGTGGGTGAGAGACAGACAGATATCTTTATATATATATAATTCTTCTGTGAGTGTGTATGTCACTGAACTTCCCTCAAACGACTGGACCGACTTTGATGAATGTTTTTGTGTGTGTTCAAGGGGTTCTGGGAATGGTTTAGATTCACAATTTTGTCCGCTGGACAATGTTTTTTTAATTAATTTTTAATTTATTAGTAGTTGTTGATACAAACGTTTTTTGACATTAGATTTGACAACTAACTAATATGTCAACTTCAAAAAACGGAGATTTGTGGCTTTAATAGGTAAACTCCAAAAATATACATAAAAAAACCTAACAGATATTTCTTGATTATAGAGCGATACGAAGTTCGCCGGGTCTTCTAGTACATATAATATACAGGGTGACTGGTGAGTTACTATCAATATTTAAGGACGTGGTAGTTGACGATCATATATGACAAAATAAAAATTAATATAACATAAATATTAATAAACTTCTAAGTAAAGTTAACCAAAAGTTATGTAATTAATTACGGATCGCGTGGATACCCTAGCTGCGTTATCGACACAAAACAGTTATGTACGTAGGTATATGTAGTTATCGCGCGGTAGTTTACCTACATCCAAACGCCGCGCGCCGCCGCGTGTTAGACCTTAGATAAACAAAAATGATCCAATTCCCTTCATACTTTAATCCTGGCTTAGGACAGGCAAAAATACCAAGATATTTCTTTCGTTTAAGCAACCAATTTATTGACTAGGTAAATGGTGTGACCTTGACACGAAAAATAATATGAACTGTTTACCTATCTTGGTATTTCCGGCGTATTTAAAAATGGAATCATTCTTATTTACAACAATTGTCAATCATTAAACTACCTATTTACCTACATAACTACACTAACCTTAACAAATGTTCAAAGCGAGCTCCTTCTCGTGTGATACACAGTTCGGCACGTTTACACATATTGTCTTTCACACGATTTAATACGAATGGGTCACTTTTAATAGTTTCGAAAGCACTATTGATTTTTAATTTCAACTCCTCTCTGTTGACATACATTGTAGCATACACAAGACGTTTCCTTGGGCATGTGTTGGAACACGGAACTGTCCGAAGTCTCGTAATCTTTGATTAGCGTTTAAGATGACGCTGGCCGTAGGTACTCGACGATTGGGGAACATCTCCCGGTACAAATTGATTGCGCCCCGCAAGCTTTCATTTGCACGCGCATACGCATAAACCATGTCCAAGTATTCTGCATTTGTGTATTGAAAAGCCATATTTAATTACTAATAAGTAATAACGGGTCACACGCACACACGACAGATTATTATTAGGTATACGCGTAAGATCGATCGCTAGGCGCGCGCGCGCGGGAAGACGAACGTACGGACCTTACGGCGGCGCTCGCGCGACTAATAGCCGACTAATGGCCCGCTAGCCACGGGGCGGGGGTTGGGGAGTAGCGACACACTGGCGCCGGCAAGGATGAGTACGTGTCCAAACTTTATTTATTTATACGGAAATTTGGTCAAAAATTAAGTACCTATTTTTTTTACATAATTCGAATGAGAATCATGTACCGAGTATGCTCCTTAAATATTGATAGTAATTCACCAGTCACCCTGTATACAGTATAAACTCTTTATAAGGAAATTCAAGGAAATGAGCATTTTTTTGTCGTTATATGGAGTGAACAAAAAAACAACCAAATTAACAAAAAAATTTTTAATATACAAATGTCCTAAATAATAAATGCTTAAAATAAAATTATTAGACATCACTGATAAATGCATTTCCAAAGAGGGTTGATGTCAGGCAGGCGGCCATTCATAAAAACAATTAGCCAAAATTATTCACAACATGTAAGGCAGACCCTGGCTGAAGCTGGGAAATTGTCAGGAAGAAGAAGAAGATATATATATTATCCTATTTTAATGTATTATAATTGTGTTTTCAGACCCTGGGACATAAAGATGTGTCTATTATGTGGTTGGAGTGGCGTGCATACGTTTTGTGGAGGGAAATTATGGCTTTGTACCGTGTGTGAACCATCAGCACCTGATGCAGATGTACTACAAGGCATTGAAAAACGTGAGACAATAACTAATTAATATAGAAAATACTAATAATTAATATATGTAGAGAGAGGAGCTTGTACGGTGGAGGTGATCGTTTAACGTTAGATAGGCTCCCTTAAACCTACACCTGGGACACAAGTACCAGTCACTGTTGTAGCTCCTCTCCCTACAACGATGGACCCGACACACGCACCGTGAATATATTGAATGATGAGACGTTTCATCTCTTGTATTTATAATTAATACATTGATTGTATAAACACTATTTCTGTAGAAGAGTAATCATACTAAGATCTAACTAACGAAGTTAAGTGCTGCTATCTAGTTAAATTTAACCACATCATAACAAAATGTTCTAAAAATGATTTCAAGTCAAAAAATACTCATAATTGTTTAGATATATAAAATATAAAAATCACAAATATTACTAGTTAAAATATTATACATTAATTAAAAATTATTTGTCATTAAAATTAATGTATTGTTTATTATTTCAGTGTCTCTCCCCACATCAAGTCGGTCCGTACGTACAAGGCGCCGTCCGTTAATGACAAGCAGAATGTCGTTAAGAAGAACGAAATTAAACACTGACATGTAATATACATATTATATACTAGCTTTCCGCCCGCAGCTTCGCTCGCGTGGAGTTCGGTTATATCGTGTTTCCAAGAGAACCTTTCAAAAGTCTGGGATAAAAACTGTCCTATGTTCTTTCTCAAGGTCAACTCTATGTCTGTACCAAATTTCATTAAAATCACTTCAATGGTTTAGGCGTGAAAGCGTAACAGACAGACAGACAGAGTTACTCTAACATTTATAATATTAGTAGAGATATATTTGCTATGTATTACATAAACGCTCTATAATCCTAATATAATAATACGATAATTTAGTCTTAGTACTACTATGAAATTAATGTGTGTATGTTTTGTCATTTAAAAATACTCATCAAGTCAAATATATTTGTTATAAAGAGCTCAACAGGGTATTACAATATTATTTCTTACCACAAGATCGTATAGTACATATGTTTTTCTTGTTTATGAAAAACTTTTAACTCTCCATATTTAGTATCTAAGTGGATTCTTGATAACCTTATTTTGTTAAATTTTCAGGCCGTCTTGTTCTACAAATACATTAACTATCAAAACCGAGGAAAACAATAGTAAGTAGCTTTGAGGGATTTTTATTATAAGATACTATAATTAAAATGAAAGTAACTAAGGTTTTAATTTAAAAGATAATTCTTATATATTTTTTTCTGTTGATCTTAGATATGTATAATTCTTTGGTATAACTAAATATTAACCAAACCCTATATGTACATAGCAGTGGTCTATTCATATATTTTTTTTATAAAAGATAGTAGAAAATAATGTAAATTGCAACTGGTATACTTAAAAACTCTTAAAAGTAACAGTTTCATATATTTCAAGAGAAATCTTTTATAAAAATCATTTAAATTCAATCTATTTATTTGTTTTAAAGTGCAATATAACTATAAAAATCTCTAATATATGACATATCAAAGAATTTTATTTAAAATAGAATAAATATATCCCAGAATTACATCATTTTTCTGTAATTCAATAAAAATATATTAGGTAATAATAATTAGGTAGAGAGAGGAGCTTGTACGGTGTAGGTGATCGTTTAACGTTAGATAGGGTCCCTTAAACCTACACCTGGGTCACAAGTACCAGTCACTGTTGAAGCTCCTCTCACTACAACGATGGACTCGACACACGCATATGAATACATTGAATAATAAGAGGTTTCTTTTTTCAGCAATCGAAAACATTCGTCATGAATTAAACTTGAAAACACCCAGAAAACGTAAGCTAATTGAACCGGAGATGTTGAGGAATATAGAAAATACATTACTATCACCGATCAAACTTATGGAAAAAGTCTTGTATGAAAAGAAACCGGATGCTGAGATAACTTTGGATGGAAATATACTGAAGGAAATGAGGGATAGGTTTAATAAACCTAAACCATTAATGGCCAAGAAGAGAATTGTTGAGTTAGTTGATATATTATTATTATTATAATTGCGAAAGTTTGTGAGTGTGTATGTACGTTTGTTACTTCTTCACGCTCAAACGGCTGACCCGATTTTGATAAAATTTTGTATACAGCAAGCTGACGTCCAGGAATAACACATAGGGTAGTTTACATCCCGGAAATCCGCGGGTAACACCGCGGGGCGCAGCTAGTATTATATAATTGTAAGCCATAGGAATGTTATTATTCACAAAGAGGTTTGATGTCAGGCAGGCGGCCGGTCGTAAAAACAAATAGCCAAAACTATTTACAACATGTAAGGCAGACCCTGGCTAAAGCTGAGAAATTGCCAGGTAGAAGAAGAAGAAAAGCTATAGGATTGTATGTATGTTGTGATGTAATACAGAAAGTGATGGTCAGATTTTGATTAAACTACAAAGTAATGTAGTTTGGATGACAGAATTGTTTTTTTGATGAATATATATTGTATTGATATGCTATATCTTCTTCTACATGGCAATTTCCCAGCTTTAACCAAGGTCTGCTTTACATGTTGTGAATAGTTTTGGCTGTTTTTACGACCAGCCACCTGCCTGACATCAACCAACTTTTGGAATGCATTAATCAGTGATGTCTAAATATTCTTAGAAAGGACATATGACTGGGAAAAGTCACATTGGTACTTGCCCGGGCAAGGACCAAACCCGCGCCCTCATGCATGCATTTTAACCACTAGGCCACCATTGACATGTCATATCTTAGATCTTAATTCTGAAGTTCATGCGAGCAATGTCGCAGGGAAAAACTATAATATATATTATTTAACTATGTAAGGGCAGAAAATATGTAGTATTTCTATTAAAGGTACATAAATTTTTGCTATAGTGTGACAATATAGAAATTTTATATCTATAATATGTAATTAAAAGTTAATTAAGAAGAATGCTGTATATGTATATATAAAGAATTTGTATGACTGTCAATAAATTGTAAATCATAAATTGCAGTGACATATTGGAAAGACTTCTGAAAGATATTGAAGTGAATAAAGAACATAAGAAGAAGACGCCCATAAAGGAATCTCACTCACCGGAGAAGAATATGGTCCCGGAGAATGTATTGATTGTGAGTATGGACATAACATATATACAGGGTGACTGGTGAATTACTATCAATAATTAAGGGGTATACTCAGTACATGATTCTCATTCGAATTATGTAAAAAAAATAGGTACTTAATTTTTGACCAAATTTCCGTACAAAATAAATAAAGCGTGGACACGTTCCAAGTGTTCCAAGTGTGGACGCGTGCGGCGGCGTGCTGATACAACACCACGCCGCGCGCGCGTATGTGTGAGTGTGTGTGTATACCTAATCTGTAGGGTGGTTACACGATGTGTAATTAATTACACAACTTTTGGTTAACTTTACTTAGAAGTTTATTAATATTTATGTTATATTAATTTTTATTTTGTCATATATGATCGTCAAATATCACGTCCTCAAGTATCGATAGTAATTCACCAGTCACCCTGTATATACATATATATATATATATATATGTACTAGCTTTCCGTTATATGTGGAGTTCGCTTATATCGCGTTTCCAAGAGAACCTTTCAAAAGTCTGGGATAAAAACTGTCCTATGTTCTTTATCAAGGTCAACTCTATGTCTGTACCAAATTTCATTAAAATCAGATCCGTGGTTTAGGCGTGAAAGCGTAACAGACAGACAGAGTTACTTTCGCATTTATAACAATAAGTTGACATTAGTAGGGATGTGTCTATGTTTATTATTAGTATATACTATATTAGCTATGAAAGCGACTCTTCTTGGAATGGTATTTTTTGTGTTAATAAAACTAAATACATTTTCTTAGATAGAAGTCACTTAAGTTATTATTTAGCTTGCTAAGCTGTTAGTAAAGTCCCTTCAAAATCGGTCCAGCCCTAACAGGGAAAAATTTAGATACACAATTAATGTGCATAAGAATATGCGTTTAGTAAATATATAAAAACTTTGATAACAAATTATTAGAATATATTTATGTCTTAAACATAATGTATTTAATATTTTCAGGATAACATATATGTTAAAACAGAGCACCCAGAATTATCGGAATCAACAACTAAGGGTTGCGATGAGAAAATACTAGATAATAAAAAATTAAAAACCGTAAACATTGTTAACGATTCAATGGAAATATCGGAAAATAATCAAATAATAAATATTGATCTGGTTAAAATTGAACCGGATATTACTCCGATTAAAGAGAAGTGTTCTCTTAAATTCAGTTCGAAAGACAAAGAAATATTGGAAGATAAAGAAATTAATATAGACATAGAAAGCTTCAAGAGTCAATATTTAACTGAGGTCGGGCAGAATATAGAAAAACAAGTACAGGAAACAAAGAAAGAAGTGTTAAAAGAAGAATTATCAGCGAAAAAATCTAAGAAGAGAACTAAGAATAAAACGCATTTATCGATAAGAAATAAAAATATAAATTTCAAAATAAAATTCAAAGATGAAGATTTCAAAGTTCAAATCAAGAAGAAGAAGAAGGAAAAGAAGTCTATATGTTTAGAATATTTAATTAAAATTGATGAGAATCCTAAAATATTGAAACAGTATGTCATTAATAAGTCGACTAAAATTGAAAGACCGAGTGAAAATGTGTCTCCGATAAAAATGAAGAGAATTAAATTGGAAAAATCACCTGATAACTTGAAGCAGACATCTATATCAAGCTTTTTTTCTGCTAAAACTAGTAAATAATACATATATATATATATATTTGTCTATACATAATAATCTCAGTACTACATTCTTATAAGATTTACACTCTAAATATTAGCCACATTATACACAATACAATTTTATTATATAGTTTAAAGTTAAATAAGTAACAGTAAAAACATATAAAAACGAACAAAACCAAAATTAATATGTAGTTAATATTTTTAAAATGATTTAAAATTCCCGCCAAAATGTAATAAATTTTTAAACAACAGCTGTTATATTGTACTCAGTGTTGCTATATGCGATAAAATCCTACTATAGAGTAGTAATTGGAATATTTATACAATGATTTTATAATTTTTAGCAATGTGTTTAGTTAAGGATTGTTTTATTATACCGCTTGTAGGAATAAATAAAATATGATTTACGTTGTTTTTTTTTATACCTCTATAAATCTGACCAACAATTTTAAGACAATTGAATATATATCAAATGTTATTGGAAGTAAATATGTAATTAATTAAACTTATATATTAAATTATTTTGGCCTGGAGGTTAAAGGTCCGCCTTTTGTGCATGATGGCGCGGGTTCAAAACCTGGCAAGTACGATGTGATGTTCCCGAGTCATATGTACTTAACACTTATTTAGACATCACTGACTGATGAAGGAAAACATCATAAGGAAACATGACTTATCTATACTAATATTATAAAGCTGAAGAGTTTGTTTGTTTGAAAGCGCTAATCTCCGAAACTACTGGTTCGAATTCAATAATTCTTTTTGTGTTGGATAGTCCAGTTATCGAGGAAGGCTGTGGGCTATATAACATCACGCTACGACCAAAAGGAGCAAAGATATAGTGATAAATGTGTAAAAAACGGGAGAAATTATTTCATCTTTGAAGCCTTCCGTTGCGTGCGCCGTGAAAACGGTTCAAGATACACAAAAAATGTGTAGTAAAGAATAATAGCTCTTTTAATGATCTAAAAAACAGTCCGCGACAGTATATGTCTATCTTTTAAGATTAACTCACAAAAACCGTTTTAATGGTACCTAATTTGGTCGTAATAATTTATTTAAGTTGTATCAACATAATAATATTAATCTTTATTCAAATAAACAAATAAATATATTGTTGGTTAAGAGTACTTCATTGTGAATAAAAAAATCATAGGTTTTATCCTGAAAATTCTACGGGAACTCGACCATTCCGAAAACCCAGCAAGAACGGGAACTGTGTGAGAAGAACCAAAAATCTGCCGGAAGTCGCTATTCCACGCGGACGCAGTCGCGGCAAAAGCTAGTAAATTATAATCATATTATAAGTTTGAAATCGTGGAGATATATATATATTTATATACCTTCTCCATGCGAGAAGAGCCCTTTGCTCAGCAGTGGGCTCCGATATGCTGATAATATAATAAATAGTAATATTTCTTATTCACCAGTATATTGTAAGTGTAACGATCTGTTTGAGCACTATTAAAATCTATTTAAAATATATTAAAACAATACTGTGCCTTAAATAAGAATATCTTTACAAATTTGTATGCGCTGATATAGATTATTAAATGCTACTTATTCCGTTTTTACTGTTATTTTGATCCATATAAATATATATTCTAAATAAAATTAAATATCAATTTTAAAAAATATCTCTCACAGTCATTTAGTCATTACTTGGAAATTTTAAAATTTATAAATACCGAATCTTTGAATCTATATTTTTTATATTGGATGTATAAGCAACTAACTATATTGAAACTAAGTTTTGTGTATTTAATCAAGACTACATAATCAATACCGTGATCACGAACAAACGCTTTCATCTCGTCCGGATAAGGTATTTAGTTATAAAATGACGCTTGGTATCAGAAAGCGTTATTTTCATTTAAATGAGTACACGTAAATATCTTAGAAATCATTAACCGATGTACAACCTTTTTATTAATATCAAAGCAATAATCTATTAAATAATAACAATCTGATACAAATGTTTTTCACATAATATATCCAAATCCCAAAAATTATTGCTTAAAACCTTTATTTGTTAGTTTCCATTTTCATTTTAGTAATTTTATATTACTAAAATATTACTTTTTCGTTATTGATTTAAAAGTATATAATAATTTTAATTTATCATAAATATATACAACAATTTTTGAATTTATAACGTATTAATTTAAACAATTAAAATACGTTAAAATGTTTCAGATTCTGGTAGAATTAATAAAACATTTATATAAACATGGCAACACTCGATCACCTTTGTTTACTACACTAAGCCTAGATTGCTCCTCCAAAACAATTTTACGTGTGTATTTAGTCAGTTGCATTATACATTTTGTTGAGAATTTGTTATCTCTTGTTATTCTATATTAATAGATAATCCATTTTGACTTTATTTTACAAATAACAGTTACAATCCAAGTTAATTTAAAGGTAATTTGAAAGTTGATGTATACGGTTTCTTTGTTCAATGGAGTAAACAGCTAGAGACGTTACCGTTCTTATAAGACGAGCTTTAATTCAAAGTTATAAGATCGTAATTCTCCATTATTTGATAGAAATGTTGTTATAATGCAATTAAAAATTAAGTTATATTGCAGTGTCTTGAAATGTGTTATTCGGAACAATTTACGCGATCTGACGCAATAACGGTTCGGCAACAACGCTTCGTATTGGAATGAATATTCGCCTGATGTATTAGAAAAGGTCATCTCTTGTTTGGATTTTCACATTCACCCCCGATTTATGTGGTAAGTTTAAAATAATATAACGTCCTATCTATTTATAATTTGTGTGACGCGTACGAGATATTTGAGTTTCCCGCGCAGTGACGTAATTTTGGATTCGTATGTCCACCATCTTTTCCCGTTTCTGACAGTCATCTTTTGAGTTGTTCAAGGTTCAGTTCGGAAGAGGTGAATTAAAATTTCTACAATCATAAGGTGTTTTCCACATCAAAATTCACCACGGAAGCATCCGGGTAAGCTAGAAAATCTCATACGCGTTCATACATATAGTTAAACATGAATTATTCTAACCTACATTTGCCTCAAGTTTTTTTAGGTCAACCACTATCTTTATAAGTTATTAAGTTTTGAAACGCAGAAATTACTGTAGCGTTAAATTAATCTCAATTATACATTCGTATTTACATAAACCATTCAAGAACTTAACGTATTTCACAAAACTTTTTTAGTAATATGACTAACACGTTACCGCGCCAAAAAAGGCTTTTTTTTGTCACTTTCCATACATTATTATATTAAAAAAGTTGTCTAATAATACATAAATATCATACATATGTAGTTTCTAGAACGATCCGGAATTACAACTTGTTCATACTTGTTGCTCTTTCGAGACAAGCAACTATTTTTATACTTCGCATAATGATATTGAAATAGCACATGAATGGCACTTCCATACTCCTAAGTTTATAACGTTACGTAATTACATAAAATTTTGAGTTTTTTTACATAATTTCACAATTATTTCACCCTACTTTACTTATTTTTACTCATACTTTAAAATTAATATGTTGAAACTTTTATAATTATCTAATAATTTGTAAAAAATAAATTTTAGTAGATTCAACATTGGAAGTATCAAAATTTCATTCAAATCAATGTTTTGTTTATTTCAGTTTATTATTTCATTTAAAAGACAATAAATATTATAACATACAGTAAATTAAATATTAAATCATAAGAAATTTGATTCCTTTTAAGAAAATATCAAGTAAGATATGCCATACATATATAAATGTACTTAAATAATGAAAAGTTAATTTTAAATAATATAGACAATAATAACTTTAGAAGTATTATATAATGTTTCAATTATATATCTTATGTATATAATTATTCTACTACCCTCAAAATGAGACTAAAATTAAAATAAGCCAGGAGACTATCTTACCACAAGTTTATAGTAAAATAAAACATATACTTGCTATTATGAGTAAAGATATAAAAGATACTGCAAACTGTATGTTTTTAGTTTTCTATTGTCACCTCATATTAAGGATAATAGTATATCTTATATATAAAATTCTCGTGTCCCAGTGTTGGACAGAGAAATCCTCCGAAACAACTTGACCGATTTTGATGAAATTTTGTGAGCATATTCAATAGGTTTGAGAATCAGCCAACATCTATTTTTCATACCCCTAAGTCGTATTTTTTTTATTTTTTTATGGAGCATTAAAAAATACATACAACCCAAAATTTTTACTTTTTTATCACTGACCCATATTTTTTATATGGCAAAACAATATTTGCCGGGTCAGCTAGTATATATGTAATGAAAATTCTGGACAAATGCGTCTTATTTCATATATTGGGGTCACTGATAATGCCAAAATTTTTGATAACATACCTACTCATGCATTATCAAATATATGACTTATGCAGTTGTAACAAGGTGCTTCCAAATATATTATTTTGACTAACTTTATCACCTTTTTTTATAAAGGATGTTTTTTTGCGACTACTAAAATTCAAAAAAATAATGATATTGCATAATATATAAAATTATTAATAGATGGATTAGTTTGTTGTATATTAAAATTGTTGGAACTATTTCGATAATGCTTTAGCATTTTGATATATTAATATCTGGGATATAAGGTGAAGATTTTTTTAACCACTTAATCAATTCTCTTCTTCTACCTGGCAATTTCCCAGCCATAGCCAGGGTCTGCCTTACATTTTGTGAAAAGTTTTGGCTATTTGTTTTAAATACCGGCCGCCTGCCTGACATCAACCCTCTTTGGGAATGCATTAATCAATTATGTCTAAATATTCTTAGAAAGTACATGTAATTCGGTTAAATCACATTGGTACTTGCCCGGGCCAGGATCGTACTCGCGCCCTCATGCATGAGGGGCGGGCCTTTTAACCACTAGGCCACCAATGACTAGAGTACTTTGATTATATTTTATATGAAAATTAATAATTTTATATATTCATATCTTTGTCCTCTTTGAAAATATAATTTTGTATACACAGATGTTACTGTATACTGATA